GGGTAGATTTAGGCTAGATATAAGGAAGAAATTTTTTACTCTGAGGGTGGTGAAACACTGGCACAGGTTGCCCAGAGAGGTGGTGGATGCCCCATCCCTGGAAACATTCAAGGTCAGGCTGGACGGGGCTCTGAGCAACCTGATCTAGTTGAAGATGTCCCTGCCCACGGCAGGGGATTTGGACTAGATGACGTTTAGAGGTCCCTTCCAACTCAAACTATTCTATGATTCTATGAAATGGCACAGGAAAATGTTGTGGCTAGGAAAGGTACAATTCTGTTTCTAATGCCTCCATAAAGCGGGGTTAATGATATCAGAGCTCTGCTGAAGCTTGCACACTGGATGCAGCAAACTTTTCATAGCAAAACAATTTATAGAGCGATCTGAGTAGGCTTGAGTTCTAGACTGCTTTGAAGATAAGCCAGAATATAATGAATGCTCCGTCTAATCTTAACAGTAGTTTGGAAATAACCTTTCCGTAACAAACCATGTTTAAGTCTTTTAAAAGGTCAGTTTTTTCTCACATTAGTCTGATTTAAGAGCAGTACCTTAAGGTTTGGGGTTTTTTTAAATGAAATATTTAAAATAAACCAGGTGCATACTTTGAGATCTTACTAAGTGGCTCAGCTAACTTAAGACCTCTCCAGGTCTCCCATCTCCTAGGAAAGAGACTCAAAGCGGCTGTTTGGCATTCAATAATTTGAGTAGCTTTCAAAAAAAAAATTCTAAGGTCCTACATTTTTCTGTGACAATCTGTGTGCAATATTTGAAACACTGCTTTCAGTACCAACATTACTTTTGCTCAGTTGAACATTCATGCAATAATATTAAATACAATAACAAGTGAAACACTGTTTAATTATTAAAGCTTGATTGACTTGTACTATTACAGTGCAAAAGCCAAACACCATTTACACTGCACTCTACAGTACATGTCTTCCTCTCCCCTGCCTTAAGGGCACACAATATTTTATTTCAAAGAGAAACAACACATGCATACTTTAAAATAACATAAACTGTAAAAATAAAGTTAAATTTCCCTTAAACCACCAATTTAAAAACAGGACCATTCATTTTCATGTCTATTTCTTTCTTTATTATCATGACAGCACAACATGCAAACACATACAAGAAATTGTTAAAAACAATTCACTTATTTGGCAATTAAATAACGGAGATATTCTGTTCCCATTTGGTTCTAACTACTGTCTGCCATAATTCTTTCCTTTGATGAACATTATCAAAAGACAATTTCAGTATAAAATAAATACCTGCTATAATGTTCCCAGACTGCGCAACCACTTTGAATCCATCAGCTACTTTATCCACGCTATCTCCATGAGTGAGGAGCACAAGCTCTTCCTTCTGAAGGCCCCTAAATAAAGATTAAAAAATAGAATCAATTAAAAAAAGAACAAAGACTTAACTACCTGTGTTTCCAAGAGAAGCCCTTAGGGATCCAAATAAAAGCACATCTCGATTGACCAGGCCCATTTGAAATACATGCAGGATTTCCTTCCCAGAAACAGTCACCTCCAACTCTGAGATGCCTCCATTGGAAGCTGCACAAGTTCTCGTATGATACATCCTTCATCCAAGAGGTAATTTATCTTAATTCAGAAGGGTTGATTGTGGTTTTTTTTCCAATAAACTCGCCAATACTGAAGTATCCCCTCTTTGACATGTAGAGCCATCTAGAGTCAATCAGGATACTTGGAGTCCTGCTTTTTATTTCAATGAAGTGAAGTTTTCTTGCTCAAAACTAAGTGTTATCAGGACAATTTGGGCACCTCACACTTTAGACAGGGTATAAAGTTCTGCAGTAGCCCTACAGGAGAAAGTTAATAAAATTGGAATACCAGGTATGAGTAAACTGTTCGAATTATTACAAAGAACTTGAGAGGCATTGACAAACTACCAAGAAATCTAATTCTGGTTTTATAAAACAGCACAAAGCAATTTTAAAGGAAGGTAGAAAACAAATGGTGTCAGATTTTCTATTACCTTTCAAAAATTGGATGGGTGCCAACCAATACAAGAGTAACACACTGCACAGCAGAAGGATATAAGAGCTTAACACAAAAGGTTCTCATGTTGTGGTACACTTTATGGTATCTCAGTGAAGACATTCTACTGTGAAATAAGGGGTTTACACAATATTCCAAGCAAATATATCTGCATTTCTAAAGTCAACTGAGAAGTTATGCCTAAGTATTTGTTTAAATGAGTAACTTGCTTACTCATGAACACAGCTGTAAAAGTTTTATTGGAAATTATCAGATTAAGCATGGGTGCAATTTCACTACATTCTTTAAAATAAGCTTCCTCTCATCCAGCCACCAATTTCCAGACCGGTATTTCCAATATTGTTTTGATAACTTAAAATGTCTATGTACCTGAACAGTGAACATGTGTTATCCAGAGTAATGCTGAACACTCCATCTTCTCTAACACTCTTCTTGTGCACCGTACCTCCAAACACCTTATTCATCATCTGTCAAAACAAAAATATTACATGAAAAAGCACCACACAATCTAGTACCACTTTGTACCTCAGTCTGCCTATGACTGACAACAGCTCTAGCCCCCCAGTACATACCAGCCTAGTTTTTCATGATTATACTCATTTAATACATCGTTTTGCAACATAAGAATTCTCTTCAAAATTAATCATCATTCTGTATTGGGCTCGTTCCCTTCTGCTGGCCTTCTGTCAGCATCGCTGGGGACCACTGCCACAAACAAGAAGCAGCAGAAATCCACAACAGTAGACTATAGGTAGAGATTTGCAAAATAATGCATATTCAATAGTGTACATCTGCTTGCACTTATAAATGGCTGCTCTGCAAATCAGCTGAGTATCTGAGGTCAGTTATCATAAAAACAGTTAAGCTGCTGAACAAAAATCCGATTTATCTATCCTTTAGTTAAGGGCCCCCAGATAGACTTAAACTTCTAAAAATCTGGCTCCTCAGCTCTGGAGAACCAGTCAAAAACTTGAGTCTATTCCCTTAGTGTTATTTTTGTGACTCTTAATAATCCTTGCTATATCAGAGTAGTACAATTCTCAAGCAGGTTTTTTCTTTCTAAAACCTCACCTTGCCATTTGGATATCTGTATTTTAGATTTCAGAAGTCTCAAAATAAATATTTTTTTCCGTGCAAATATAACTGGCAACTTTAAAAATATTTTTAGAGTTTCACCTTCCAACTACTTTAATTTTCAGAGATTTAAGGCTTCATTTTAGACCTAGTTGGATACTATACTTACTGCGCTTGACTGATTTCAATCTTTTATAATGAAGTAGTAGTGTGTTAATATGCACACTTGATTCATTTCCGTAAAGTCAGCCTTAAGGAACTCCCCTGCTTGAGGCTAGCTAACGTGGTTTTCAATTTGCTTGGCATTTTAAGGCATGTTTTAATATAACACACGTTTCCCTTTAGAACAGGGAGTGCCAACATTGTTTTCGTAATTACCAGCCTTTCTAAAGGAGTTTTTCCAGCCATTATTCAGCACCTCTGCAGGCCTAGTAAATCACTAGCCCTGGAAAAAAACAAGAGGCACAAGCAGAAGTCATGCATCTAATCCATCCCTTTTCTCCCTGGAAGTTTGTTTCTTCACTCAGCTTGGATCTACTAGATCACTGCAGGACCACCAGTCAGTCCTAAGGTAAATAAGTGTTTTGGCAGAGGGAGGGTTTAAGCACTCTTAAGAACTATACTAAAAACATTCCATGCTTGAAAACCAAAGGGAAAAACTATTTCACTTGTTTACACAAGGGGCACATTTTCCAATATCAACTAGACAGAATTAGTTAATGACTGCCAGGTTATATTTATTGTGACAAAAAAAAGGCAGTGTGGAACTCAATTCACAGCACTTAAGCAAAGGAAAACCATTTATGCTATTGATACGGCAGAGCCAAGAGAAAAATACACAGTATGCTCAGTTTACCAATTAGCACTTTAAAAGCATCTTTTGCACTTGTGGCATACTGCTTATATTTGAAAAGCAGGTCGTTTAGCAGTTCATCTTCAGTTAGTATCAGAAATGAGGCCTAGAAGACGGCTGTAGACAAACATATCTCTCAACAGCACCTGCATGCCATAGCAGATTCCAAGAACTGGTTTTCCTATTGTAAATATTGCTGGGTCGAACCATGGTGCATCTTCTGCATACACAGAGTTTGGTCCTCCAGATATAATGATAGCTCTGCAGACAAAAGATAAAGAAAACATTAACTCAAATATATTGTTGACTTTAAAATCTCTTTATTTGCTTTAAACATTGACATTGTCTCCTAACGCTTAGAACTCTATATATTCTAATATAAATTTTAACACAGATACCCTAACATATAGCTTAACTTTGCTATGCTACAGCTGTCAAAACCAGCAGCTTACCAGAGAAGTATTTAATCAGTTTAAACAAAGTCAAATATAAACCATCTTAAAAAGTGACTGTATTTTAAATTCCTCATAGCCAAGCACCCACTACGAGAAAAGCAAGATGGCTAGGATCAAATGCAGAGTATTAGCATTAAGTTATATATACTTCATGATGTCTGTGCCATGTGGAGGGGAGTTGCATTCAAAAAACAGACTCCCAAACTTCTAGAGCTGCTGAGAAAATGTCCCTTAATTCGCCCTGATTATGAAGTGAGATGGCATTAGCAATAGGTTGTGAATTAAAAGTCCAATACATGCAAGCATTTATGGTTTGAAGTTAATACTTCACGCTATAACAGAAAATTAAATCTTTTCAAAGAGGAAGAGAGACCTTTGCAAACCATGATGATTTGCAAGATCGTGAACTGCAGAAGTACCAGCCAGTTGGGCAATGCTTTGTGGCCTCAACCCAGGATTGAACACGGGTGTACCAGACCTTGGACTCGTGTACTGTTTATTTCGCAGAGAACATCAAATCCATTATTCAGAGCGAGAAACGAAAAATGGGACAAGAGAGAAGTTGCATACATAGGATTAAATGCATCTAATAAAGCTTTCTTCTAGCATTATTTAGAGTGTTTGTCATGCAAGTACTGACAAAACAGAATTTTTCTATTTTTAAGCAGCAGAAACAGGCAGTGCGCTTTCGACATCTGTACCACTGGCAGAAATAATCATGTAGTAACAAGCCCACGTACCGAACGCCACCTCTCAACTGCAGTCATGCAGGGTACCTGCTCCCATCAACGCACAGCTAGATCTCCCCAGCAGCCCACCTCCACCTCCCCCAGCCTGGGCTCCTCATTTCAATGCAGGGGATGAGGCAGAGGGCTGGATGGGGGCACCCCTCAGAGCCAAAGTACAGCAGCTTGCAAACTGGAAGAGGCAGCATTTATTTCTTTGTGTGTCGGGATCTACAAGTGAGCTTTGGAATAAGCATACAGCTGACATAGGTGTAGTTTTACACTGAACAGTCTTGACAACTAGTACCTGCTGTACATGTACAGGCACTTCCGTTCAAGTCAGAGATGTGATGAATTTCCTAAACTCAGACGCCGCTAGAAAGAGACTGAAAACTCTTAACACCTGGTGGTATTACTGCTTCTAATAATGCCACGTACAGAAGCATCTGCTTAAGTGCCATACATAGAGAACACTATTTAATATTAAGGAAAATATAGCCACATCTACAAATTGAACATTCTTACAAGAAGTCAAAATAGTTATACACTGTCCTATCCAAAGAGCAGAGTCTTAAAAATCTGCTTTTTTCCATACCAATTAAAATCCCACAGAATACAGAAAGGTTATCCAATATGGCCAAGTATTAAAGAAAAAAAAAAGTATGAGCTGAGGGTGAGAGAGGAACCTGCATCTTCTCAACTGTCCAGGAGAAATTAAAACTAGCATGGGATATAGATTTTTAAAGTTCTACTGCAACACCACGTAATTTCTTATATACCTTCTTGCATTGGTATGAATGTACCTTTTTCTGGTTTACCTTAAACCACTTCCAAAACAACCTGACCTAGCTTTGGAAAGCCTATTTGCAATGGATTAAAGGCACATCAGGAACGATGTCACAATACCAAGAGTAAAATGCATGCATTGATACCCCAACCTCAGGACTCACACCAGAGCTCAGATAGTGCCAGAATCCAAACTAACTCAAGCGGAGCCCCCAACTGCGGCACCTCCTCAGCCCAGGATCAGGATCTTGTGGAAACTGCTAACGTTTATGTCACATTTAGATGAAACTTGTCACTAGAGATTGTTCTGAAACCATGAAAATTGAGGAGCTGGCTTTTTAAAACACAACAACGTGTAAATACAATTTAGCAAAATGTTCCATCTTGCTGCCTGTCTCAAACCTTAGCACAGACCAAAGCGCAGCTCCTCAGCCCATTCAATGCATGAGCTGCAACATGGAAACCTGACTATTCCCGTGACATGTGGAATATATATCAAAATCTTGCAGTAAAACCACGAACTCATTTTTACAGTGGTCATTGAATAAAGGCACCCAATGGCTGGCATCAGTATTTGCTGAGCTTTCCTGGATGCGAATGATTGACTGAGACTGTGGACACAAAGCTTATTGACCAGTCTGGGTAACCAATAACCTGAAACCACTATCTTAACCTTGAGAAGTGACCTTTTGAATGAAGAGGTTTTACCATGTTTTAAAGAGCAATTATTTGGAATGACCAGTCCAACAGGTCTAATCACGAGACTTTGAAGAACCTTCAACTATGAACAGAAAGGGGGAAAAGGTCTTCCCACTACAAACCTGCATCAATACAGCACAGGTCTAAGACAAAACATCATTAGTACTATGACCCACACCTCAAATCCAACACACAGGAGATACAGGATTTCTTTTTTAAACCAGTAATTAGGTATGTCCATCTTTTAAAGAATTGATTGTTGGAGAATTATAAACAAGATCTGACATGAGAAGGTATTTTTCAGAACATTTCTGAAAGAAATTCTTCACACAACAGCTACCTGATAGATCCAGCAGTTCCTGGGTTTTCTGTTCTCTGTGTTTTCAAAAGAGATCAATAAGCTCCTATTTGACTTACTAAAATATACTGTTTACTGATTCACTAATTATCATTGATTAGAAAAATGCAGTTCTGCAGCAAAGCACTATCTTTATCTGTTGTCGGGCACAACTGAGAAGCACACATGCACCGCATTTCTGGATTTGTACCAAACTGACAAGTAAGGTCTTTGATGATTTGTAGACTTCAGGGTATTTATTTTCCCCACACAAGAGAGGCATACCCTGGTAAGCCTAATAAAACAAGAAAAAGAAACATACAAAGTACTAAATAATTGAGAGACTTTTTCTTGCTGCAAACAATGAGTGGTAGTTTCAGTTAGTTTTTGTAGTGGCTTCCCAGAAACAGTTTGGCATGATTTACCACAATATCTACAGTATTCAAGTTAGGTTTTGGTTTTTTTTTTTTTGAAATTAAACTAAGAAAATAATTTTTAGAAACTCACGAAACTTATTTTCTTGATTAATAGCTACCCTAGTTTAACAGGTAAAACAGCAAGATCATCTAACTTTTTGCAGAAACATATTTAAATTACAACCTCTTTAATTATACTTACAAATGGAAATGATTAAAATTACATTAAGGCATTAAGAAGCAAATACACAAAATTTATATTACTGCACAAGTTTCCCCAGCAAAACTCAGGTGTTTCTGTGGATAAGCTAAAGATGCAATCATTAACATCATTACAATGAAAGTTATTGCACATAAAAACCCTGGCAATTACCACCACTGCCAACATCCACCCATACCATTACACTGAAAGGAGAGAACAAGCAGAACATACAGGCAGAGGCATTGCAGGAAACAACCTACCGAAACCCTTGTTCTCTGATTGCAAAGGCTGGCGTTTCCAAAGGGAAGATCTCAGACTGGACAAACAGCTCGCGCACCCGACGATCTATGACTTTCCCGTACTGTGCTCCGGCATCGAGTATGACGACGGCTCCCTCGTAGTGGTGCTGCCCATCCTTGAGCTCTCCTCCAGCATTCTCCGGCTGCAAACACCACTCACATCAGCACTTTATGGTGACACATTGCAGACCGCAGACTTTAAGCCAGATCTCTTAAACAACTAACATCTGCAAAGCTTGCTAAGGTTGCCTATAAGTTAATTTATGATTAAAATGATAAAGACTAGCCAAGAAACTTCTAACTGAAAAAATCATCAACTTTATAAGGGTGAGTAGATGCATTGGCAAGATAAAGGGGCTACACATTAACACAGCACATCCCTCCCAAGCAGCCACACAAACACGACATCCCCATCCCCCAAAACAAACAGGGTACAAATTAGGGAAGAAAAATGCTAATAAGCTAATGAAGGCAGAGCTTTCCATAAATAAGAAGTCATATGCCCTGTTCACCACTACAGCCACGACAGCTTTTTCCATTTTACAGTTCCATATAAAACCCAGCAGACCCTATGATAATTAAGAGTATGTGCCTTTTTCTCAAGCAAAACAGGACAGTGCAAAGTCAGAAGAAAAATGTTTTTCCCCATCACATTGCCTCGTACGCTGAATTTTCACTTGACATTACCTCCTGGAGATAATAAAAAGGAGAAATTGAGAACAAATGTCTCTGCTAAATGATTTTTCAAAAAACCCCAACTTTTGAATGCAGCATTCAAGCAGATTGCACATTGGAACAAAGCAATGGTTCTCTTTGACCCCATCACATTTGAACTGGTTGGCCAACTTCAGCTAAATCTGAAAGAGGGCTAGAAAATGCAAGGACAAGTTTCTTCTTTTTTTAAAAGAAATTGTGAAAAGAGGCAGCTATTCCATGGAAGTGTCCGTATCAGAGGATCTTCAAAGAAGAATGTGAACACAACCCACACTGTAAGACACCAAGAAATTCATGCACAAAAAATTCTGCTGCTTGAAGAAATTGCTTACTTTGGGGGTGTTTTTCCCTTAACTTAAAGCTTACACTGTTTCCAATGTAGTTGGAATGTTTCCAAACTGCCAATGTAGTTTAATGAAGGAAAAACCAGGAAGGGTTTTACTTCAGCAAACACTGCCTCAAAACACATCTTGAAGCTTACGACCATTTCAAGTTTTAATTATGGCATGTTGGAGTTGTTCTGCACGTTTGTACCAGGCAACACATCCTTCAATCCACGGCTCACAGGAGGCTCCCACCACTGCTGCTTAGGCTCCGAAGGAAGCTGGGGCAGCCTGCAGCATGCCATGGTATTTCCATGTGGGTCAGATAATCACCCCTCATCAACCACAGGTCATTCTGGAGGAGAGCATCATGCTGCTGGGACACATTCTCCCCAACAAATACACAGCAAAGGCTGCACTTGAGCTTTCTTCCTCAGCTACCAAGCGACACCTCAGATAATTGTCTTCAAATTAGTCAAGAAAGGCAAGCACACTGGAAACTTCCAAAGTTTACACTAGCTGGAAAAGGTTTTATCTAAATTAAAAGACATAAGCAGAAAAAATAGTGCTAAATCCCTCAAAAGCCTAAATCCAGGTTACAGTCAGTTACTTAATTTCTTTCCTTCAGCTGGTAGCTGAGTGTGCCTGATGAGGAGCTTGTAATGACTTTTTAGTCTTGGGTTACACAAAAAAGGGGCACATGCTGGAAGAGAGTAGACTTCAGCAGCAAACGCCCCTTCAAACCCCTTCGTCAGATGGAGAGAGGTCACCAGAACTGTCTTCCCTTCTAGTGGAAGGGAGGGAATCGCTTTTAGAGTAATTCTGGGCATTTTCACCCAGCAATTTCTAAAGTAGCAGTTCTTGTGAGAAAGACCAACATCCTTATGCTTTCCTGATCCCATCTTGTGGCAAACATTATTCCTTGCAGTGCTATTTCTTATTAAAAGTCTTTGTTTCAGAGCACATGCTGTAGCTTGTACCATAAAGGGACAGAGCTCTGCAGCCCTCTCGGCTTAAGTGTCTGAGATTGTCCATTCCCACCTGCAAGAGACCAGGGTGGGACGTAAGCAGTCCCCTCCAGACTCCCGGGCAAGCCAAGGGTGCATATAGCCAGCCCTTGCACGGATGGGTCCCACCTGTCAGCAGTGCTACCCACACATCATACCCTAGCATTTCCCAACCTGCTGACCACCCCTAACAACCTGCAGAATGAGTAAGAAGAAAGTAATACAACTCTGTGAAGGCAGCTTTTACATTTTACAGTAAAAAAAATACTGAAACCAAGTTATTGTTGGCATCAGCTCAGCTGGATCGATGGCCAAGCATTTACATCTGCAGCTAGTAAATAAATCTTGTTTTCAGTGTCCTACCCTGAAGGCACCAAGATGCTTTGAGCAGTCAGGTGTAGTTAGCTGGGCCCAAGCAACAGCTGAGGGGGAGACATGCATGTGAAAACAAAAAGAGCTCAAAGTTACATTGGCAGTAGTTTGAGAAACGTTGCATAAGGCAGCATAAGTAGGTCTGTATCTCAAATGAACCTGCACCTTCCCTAGTTCTCCTCAGCAAAAGCAGGACAGTAATACATACCCCTTTGTCACAGGGATGAACAGGACAAGCCCCTGCACTGCAGTCACCCAGATGTGAGCACTCAGCTCCCAAGCTGGCAAACCCCTTCACTGAGCCATCCCTGCTTCTTCACTCTTGCCAAGTATAGCATCATTTTGCACAATGATCGGAGGAACACTTTCAGAGATAACTGCATCAACATTAGAATTACTTCTCAATCATTTATGTGGCCCTGGAAGACGACTGTTAAGGCTTTAAGTAATAGCTCATTGCCCAAGTTTCACTGGGAGTCCATTAACACCCTTCCAAAAATCTCAAAAGCATCTAATCATAGCTCAGAAGGTCTTTCCTCAGATGATGCTAAGGGCATTTCAGCTAAAATGCAGTAAAAACACTGCATCCATTGAGCAGCACAGATCTCCCTATGGGGAACATGTAAGATGAGCAAGGCAACATGCACCTCACCAGAAAAAAAAAAAAGAAAAAAATTACTCAATTGGTGGCCTAATAACTTGCTGCTCCCTTAGATGTGGGCTTAGAGTAAACTACAGGCTGAAATAATTTTCTCCGAGTACTACACAGCGCACTGCCCACTGTTCTTTTCTCCTGTAGGCATCCTTGCAGCACATCCCCAGCATACATCCAAGCAAGCCCCATCCCAGGAGTTAACGCAGGCGACTATCACCACACCGACTGCATCAGAGGGGTTTTTCTACTTTAGCTCAAGAGTGAAGTACAACTGTAAGGAGGTTCAGCTCTGAAGAGAGCCCAATAGAAACACTACCGTAAATCACATGGAAAAAGAAGGAGAAAGGTGGTAAGTCAGTACAGGATCTGATTTTATTTATTTAAAGGCACAGTTCCAAGGCTAGAGATTTTGAATCCAAATGTAATAAGGGAAACATCATTTAATAAAATTAAAAAAAGAACAGATGCTGTTAACGTGCAGCCAACATGGCAGTTTAGCTCATGTGTTTGTATACCATACACATGCCAGGAGAAAGATGAAGAGGATACCAGGCAGCCCAGCTCCTGCAGGGACAGGGTTTATGGACCCAGCGCCTCTTCCTAGTGGGGATTCTCCAGTTTCTAATAAAAGCTCTTTTTCCCCTCAATAGGGGTGTAACTAGAGTTCCTTGTCTTCTCCTGGTCTATTTTCACAAAAATCTGGAGAACTTGCTATTTTTGAGAACTTCTGTCGAAGCTGGTTTGACAGCTCTCCAAGGCTCCAGGTGTTGGGGCAGAGCAGTGGCACCAGCCTCATGTCCCGAGAGCAGGACTAAGAAAACAGAGTGGGACTGGAGTATACCAAGAAAGAAATGGGGGGGAAGTCTATATTCAGCTAATTTAAACCACAAGAGTCACCCTGAAAACCATGTCATATGTGAAGGATTCCTACTGTTCTCTACGACTCATGAAACAAATAAAGCAATTACACTATCTTAGATAGTGTATCTCCAGACTGCCATTTGCCTGCTGTTTCACAGCATTTCTCCAGACCCGAGACCTGGAACCAAGGTCCGGAGTGCCACCTGAACCATATCGCCACCTCCGACTGCACTGCCGCGGCAAGGGTCAGCCTTGATCCGTCATTTCAGCTCTACCATTTGATAACACTGGAAGAAAAAAGCTTCCATCGCTGTTAGGTGTTTTTGTGTCAAAAAAAAAGTAACTATAAGTTCTATAATGAGCTGTGGTAGGAGACCTGCCATCAGGCTTGCATTACCAGCTAAGGACACCACATATCTTATTCCTCAGTGTACCTACCTAGTGCTTTAAACTAAGTTTGCAGGTTCCTAACAGCCCACTTCTGCAGAATCAGGGAATTTTTCAGCATTTCACACACCCACACACTCGCAGGATTTTCATTAACACAATTTATAAAACACATTAACATACAGAACAGTCATATTCTGGAGTACCAAGAAGCACCTGGCAGAGCCCAGTCTGCAGCAGCAGCCCCTCTGCCCGAGCCCTCAGCCCTGAGCTTTCACCCACACTAATAACTTAGGACAAGCCTCAACCAGGAGCCTTGATCTGGCACTTTCAAGCCAGCACAGATTTTACAAGAGTTTAATTGTTTCCCTGTGGTATTAAAATTAAGCATTTAATTTAATTCATTTTTTCAAAGTATAACAGGAAGGTAACTCCTTCAAACTCAGGCAATCCCCAAAAGTGATACAAGAACCCCCAACCCGTTATCTCAGACAAACTTTAATTTACATAAGTCGCGTGCAGATTTCTAATGGCTGCTGGGACCCAGCCCCCTGCGGAAACTGCTCTCGTGAGCTCTTGCTACCCGCTTCCTGCGAGAGCACGGTTCGTGGAAGATGAGCTTTGCATCGCATAGCTAGCTGGGGGTGTGACCACCCCAGAGAAGAGGAGCCCTCAAGAGCAGCCCTGGCCAGGGAAAGAGATTGTGTCGATGGTCAGGGAAACGCATGTCAGAAGACTTAAGTAGGGACCAACCAAGCACTTAAAAAAACCCCTCAGTGTTACATTTTCTTGAAGACTAGATAAAAAGTCTAGAGCAAGGCTTTTATCCTACTACAGAAGCGGCTTGAGACAACTTGCAGGGTTTTGGTTCAGAAGTTGCATCATCAAGAAAAAACTTCAGCTTCATAAGGGCACACAAGTCATTTTGTCACCCTGGCATGCAAGAGCTACGCCGACACACATCTTTTTTTCCACTGTCGCTGCAAAGTGGACATGGGGCAACACCGAGGGAGCAGCACGATCCTGGTGGTCACCAGGATGGAGACAGCGGGCCCTGCATGAGGGCTGGTGTGGGCAAGCCTGCCCACTTCTGCAGCAGTTAAGCAAACCAACTTTTCTCTCAAGTTGCCTGAATGAGTGACCGTTCACATTGGGACGTGACGCCCAAACAGCGTGACTAGCTGCTAGGAAAGGTGCTGGCCGTACCCCCGGGGAGCCCAGTTTCGGTTTCATCCCGGAGGCAGCACAGGCCGTGCAAGGCACGGAACAGACCCGGTGCGGGTGAGCTTGGCCACGCCATGAGCCAACGTTTTAAAAAATCCTATCAAAATCCAGATTGTGAAGTTAATTAATTTTCTGAGAGAAACCGCGGTTGTGACTGAGCAGGCAGAGCGGCGCAGGGGGCAGGGGACAGGCAGGCACTG